TTCAATCTGAAAAGCAATTTGTATTTTTTTTTGGGCCGAACGCAGGGGTCGCCTTTTTATATTCTTCTTAATATTTTCGGCATTTACAGTCTGATTTTAAAATATGATATACCCATGTCCTTGTCTCGAGAAGAGATTGTTTCAGATATCAGTTAATAACGGCCTAACGCACCACCTTAATGTCATTAGATAATTTAAAGCTCTCCGAAAATCCATAATATTTTGATTAGTGCAGTAGAATTATTTAAAAAAAATTTGTTGCTGTTACCAAAAAATTTAAAATGGCGAACCCTAGTATCGGCACAAAAATCGGAATTGCCTTACAAAAATACTTTAGAATCAGAGGTGTACGGCGAACTTTGTTTGCTTATATGGTGGTATGGTCTAATGTAAATATATGTATATGTTAAATAAATTGGTAATACAATTACAACGATTTGTATAAAATTATGTACATATTATATAAATAGAGATGCATATATAGACACATTATGTATATATAAATACTCGCACTACAAACATACACACATACTTAAGTATGCACTCAATCACATTGTATAGGTTCGCTAATCGCTCTTCATCAGTAAGGCCTAAGGTAAGGTTTTAATCTAGCAGATCGATGTCAAATGATCAAAAGCTGTACAGCAGTAAATATTTTCCAACTACAATCATAATTATATATCTATACATACATACATATATAGATTTACTAATGCATACATAGACTAATGCCTATGAGGCATTCCAAGCTATTTCAATGAAAATTGTGATTTTTTTTTTAGATTTTGATATAAACTGAGTATAATGTAGAAATACCTCTAAGATATGGCAAAACGCGAGGAATGTAAAAAAAATAAAAATTGCAAAAGTTATACAACAACGAAAATATTAGGTGTCCCGCCGTAAGCCATTGTTTTTCACATCATATCTCGATAAATATTTGTTGTATCAAAAAAATCAATTAGTACTTTTTTATTGACAAAGAGTCAGAGATTTATAAAAGATTTTTAATTTTTTTAAGTCCACTTTTCCATACGTTTGTTAATGAACAATTTAGAAAGTTGCTAAAAAAAACATGTTTGCAGGTTTTTAAAAATCTGCAAAAAATATATGTGATAGAGTGAATATCAATGATTTAACTGACACATTTTTAAAGGGTGTCTCGATATAGGGCCTGAGATATTAATTGTTTAGTAAAGCAGTGACTGATAAAAAAAATTAAAAAATAAAAATTGTAAATTCAAATTACATCAAAATACGCCAAGTGGGCCACTTAAAAAAAGTTTCTTTCGGATAACCAAGATAGTTACGTACTTTGGTAGAGGTCCAGGTAATATTTGTTTCCCTATACTTTATCTTGCTATAATCCTCTTACTTTGCAAAAAATCGCGAATTTGATATTAAAATAATCATTTATTTGATCGGTCATATCTCCTGAACGGGCAGAGATAACTTAACCATTTTGGTTTAAATTAAGCGGAAAACTATATCGTTTTAGCAAAAATTATTAAATTTGTGGTAAAAAACTACTTCTCGAAAATTTAAAATTTTTTCGCAAAATGTCGTACAGAAAGGAAAAGTTCAATATTTCGTACGTAAATCTTTAACATACTAATTTAAAAAATTAAAAATGAGTAACCACTTATACTAAAGAAATAACAAGTGATTTTCCGGCGCCATCTAACAAATTTTATATTTATTTTACAATATTTCGAATTTCAAATTCATCGTCCAGGGAATGAATTTTACATTTGAGATTATGAGTATCAGAAACAGGTATAAAAAAATGAAGTCGACGAGTTCCAATAATGGATGAGGAATTTTCAAATCGAACTTTCAAAGCTTGCTCTTCCAGTGTATGTTCTTCGTTTGTACAAAAAACGGTTCGAATGGATTTAATTGATTCTATAGCGAATTCGTATAACAACATAAAACAAATATTACCTGGACCTCTACCAAAGTACGAACCTATCTTGGTTATCCGAAAGAAAAGGTTTTTAAGTGGCCCACTTGACGTATTTTGATGTAATTTGAATTTAAATTTTTTATTTTTTAATTTTTTTTATCAGCCCCTGCTTTACTAAACAATTAATATCTCAGGCACTATATCGAGACACCCTTTAAAAATTTGTCAGTTAAATCTTTGATATTCACTCTATCACATATATTTTGTGCAGATTTTTAAAAACCTGCAAATATGTTTTTTTTAGCAACTTTCTAAATTGTTCATTAACAAACGTATAGAAAAGTGGACTTTAAAAAAAATTAAAAATCTTTTTTAAATCTCTGACTCTTTGTCAATAAAAAAGTACTAATTGATATTTTTGATAAAACCAATATTTATCGAGTTATGATGTGAAAAACAATGGCTTACGGCGAGACTCCTAATTTTTTTGTTGTTGTATAACTTTTGAAAAAAAAATGTTGTTGTTTTTGTTTGCGTTTACAAACACTTTACGACCTCCTCTGCAATATATCCGAAAATCGAGCAAAAGTAGTTTTTCACCAATTGAAATAGTGTGGAATGCCTCCTATGTGTTTTCGTATTTACTTACTTGCATAGTGGGTAGTCAATCCCTGCAGGAAAATCACAACTTGTCAAAACTTCAGCCAATGTAGTCGAGTCGTTAGAGGTGCGTACATCCACTCGCTAAAATCAGGGTTCGAGCAACATCTTAAAGTTTTTTTATAGCATATGCTTTTTTACATATACTTTATAGGGTGGTCCTTAACATTATGTTCTACTTAAAAAATCACGAAGATTTCAAGATTTAAAAAATTTAGGGATCGCTACCTGTGTTTAAAAAATTTAGTTTATTTAATATTCGAAAAAAATTTGACTGGTGCATTTGTACAGATTTGTATATTTTCGCAGTCACAGAGTGCTATTGTCTAGAAATTTTTACTGAGAATGAGTTCAGCTCAATAAAAAATTTCCCAACGACAGCGCACTGTAACTGTAAAAATATACAAATTTGTACAAATACACAAATCACGTGATGCCGCCTTCGGGTTTCGAGTCAAAATTTTTGAAATTTTTGATTTTCATGGATGTCTTTATTTTGTACCTAGAACAAAATTAAGGGGTACACCCTTACAATACTTAGATGCTTATATTTAAGGACCACCCTTATACCTACCAATTGTATTTCATAAAGCAATTAAAGCATGTATTCCGAAATTCATTGCTTAGTGTTCAGAAAACTTAAAGACATCTAAAAACTAAATATAGTTATTCAGAGGAAACTTTAAGGCTCCCTCAAGTACAGTTAAGGTTTACATTGATAAAGTAATACCAAAAAAAAATTCTTAATATGTGGGCGGCTTTGATTTCAAAAATATGTATTTTATAAATAAAATATGCTCAAAACAAGATACATTGAACAGTTAGTATCAGTAGAGCAGCTGATTTGATTTATTTTCAAATTATTTGGTCTCGAAAATGTCAAATATTTTTAATTTTTTCTCACAAAAATTCTGAATTGTTAAAATCCATTTGCATGTGAAACCTTTTTCCATACAAAACAAGCGATTGAATAGCAGCTTTTGGAACGTTCGCCCAACTCAGCAGCACAACCGCTGATTACTGGCCCTTGTAAAGAATGGATCAATGCTTCGAGAAGCAAACAAATTTACTAGGAAAGAAAGTTGCATCAATTTTTATTTTTTCCAATTTCAATTTTTTATTTTTTATAATTTTTTGTATTTCACATGGCACGCTTTGATTTAGAAGAAAAAATTCAGAACAGTTTTTGACACTTTCGATACCAGAAGCAACAACAAAATCCACGCAAATGTTGTTTTTGCTCTACTGATACTACCTGTTTAATGTGCCTTGGCTCAAAAGATCAGATTTTTTGCTGCAGGGATGCATGTGCTACATGCAAATATACAAATATACAAATGTACATATGCACGGATTTTTTATTTACATATGTATCTACATATGTAACGACTACATGAAAAATTTGCGTTTAATTACTGCACTTTTCCGCATACCGTTTTTTACTGCCTGCTATTGCATTCATCATCGTTTGATTGGGACTGCATCTTGTGTAATCCAATGTACATATGTGGGCTAATTTGCAAAAAAATATATGTTTGTTTGTAAAAAAATGTGTTAAAAATTACTACATAGTTTAATGCTGAGCTATTAGTTCAATTTTTTCTTTCGACATTGACCGATTTTTCTTTGGGTCGGTAGCTTTTCTAGAACTAATTTCTATGGAACAACTGTTACAAACATTCGAAGTAAACCCTTGTTCGCACTGTCATCTCATTAGTACTAATATGGCGAAGCAATTAGTTCTAGCATATTATAGTAGTAATATCGTACATAAATGTTAGCTGTGAACATAAGGCTTATGACTATTTTGGTCTTTTTTATTTTCAAATAGCATGTGATGCAAGTCCGTCAAGGAAAATTTGTTAGAAAAAAGGCAAACAACATATTTTTTGTTTAAAATAAGTCAAGAAAGCCCATGGTTTATTATAGATGTAT